TGTTTTGACTGACCCAAAAAGTATTGGTATGAGGCTGTTCAAATTTTCTGACTTTTCTTTTATTTTCCAGTCGACAAGTTGTTCAACTCTGACACCAATGCTTTGATCAAGCCAGTGGAGATGTTTGAAGAAAATGTCTCTAGTTATTCACCTAGCATATACAACTCTAATCAAAGCAAATCTACCGATTATTATCCCTCTCAGGCTAACGATTTTGATAACGAAGAGTATTATTCTGGAGAGAAAGAAGTTTCCAGTCTTGAGCTTGATTCAGATTATCAAGATTATCCTTCCTCTGTCTCTAAACGAGTTCCAAAATTCTCTTTAATCGACAATCCAACAATTTCACCTTCAAATCCATTTTTAGAAAGCTATCAGTTTGTAACTAGGGATTCATCAAGCGGTGAAGACTTAAAGTCTTCTTTATCTAGCTACGCTAAAAAATATGATTCAATTGAACATGTCTCTTTATTTCCCTCAGTTGAGTATAATACAAAATATAACCCCATTTCTATTCCAATATTACCATCTTCTGACTTGAAATCAAAGTATGGTCCCTTAACTACTGAAAATCCATCTTCCGATACTATTTATGATGAGTTTATTTATACTACCACTGCTGAGTTCGAAATACCAAATCCTTCAGTTTTGTCTGGCGCCTTATCTGTTCCTTCCACAAGCAAATTATACACCGGGCTTGAAACTATTTCACACAGTTCTGAAGATATAGTAAATTCAAACCAAGAAGTAGAACTTAAAAAGGAATTTTCCCTAAACTCAGTTCCTTTGTACACATCATTTGTGGAAAGTTACTATCCTGCAGATAATGTTGGACAAATCTCTACAAATCTTCCAGAATCACAGACACAAAATAACAACGCTTCAAGCCATCCAGCAAAGATTACAGAATCAGAGGTTACAAACAGTGTTGAAGTACCACACTACAATTTGTTTAACAAGCCTATTGTTCTAGACTATTCAGGTGTCACATATGAAATTGACTTTCCTGAGTCAGCTGACACGTTATTAGCTGATCCAACAGCTGATGCTTCATCAGCTGATGAAAATGACGGAACTCCCAAACTACCGATCCTAAGGGCACAAGCTATTAATGCAAATGATATCCAAGACGATATGAGTATAGAAGGATCCAATAGTGAGAAAGTTAAAAGGTGAAGAAATCTTATGCATAACTTTAATATTTTGCCATTTCATCGTGATTGAGTTTATATAAAATGCGCAGACTCAATCAGAGAATTATTTTTTGTAGAGTTGCAAAAAACTTTTTTTTTGTTTTCTACTCTGAATAATTGTGGTTTTTGGTCTGTAAATCGTATATATTTATAGAAATTAGATCTGAACAAAAGATTTATTTGACTAGGAACCAGATTTAAGGAATACAGTAGATTAAATTGAACCACTCTCTCCACATTTTATAATAATTTGAGCTGCGTTCCTTAACTACCTACTGCCGATTAAAATTTGAACCACCGATGAGGAAGGATTTGAATTGGTGGTTCAAATTTGGTCCTTGATCATCTAGGCGGTACTTGGTTTAACTAGTTCTTGCTATTCATTAAATCTGGTCCTAGGACTAGTACCATTCTACTTTACGTTTTCATTTACAAGAATGTAATACCTAGGATAGCTGAACTTAAAGAAACAGATGATAATGTATCAGAGGAGAAGGGGAGTAAAGAAGAAGGCGCGGAAGGTGGAAATCACTCTCCAAAAGGAATTCATATGCCGGATTTTATAAACTCTCTACCAAGCAGCTTCAGAGCAGCACGGATGACTGGTCCTATAGCTATCAATGAAGCCACAGGAACTCTGGTTAAAAACTCTCATCTGGAAATGTTCCACAGTGATTATAAGCTAAGCCAAGGTACAAATTTTTTAAAATAAAATTTAACTTTTTACCGAATTTTAAAGGACCCTCCATCAAAGTAGTGGCAAGTTCATTTGAAAATTTTTAGAAATATCTCAAAACTTTGGTCTAAGCTACAACAAGGAAGACAGCATTGTTTTTCTCACATCGAAAATATTTTAATTTAGGGTAATTCATTCATTGTTTCTGCAGCATAAATCTTCCAGTCAGAAGACTAAAATTTTAAAAGAATCCACTCAAAAATAGAAAGGTTTAAAATGGTACTGTTGTTAATCGCACATACCTTTGGTAAATGAAAGGTCTCTTATATTTTGAATATTTTATCTTAAGGATTTGAGGATGCTTATATTCGAAATGATAGACAGGCAGTGTTTGACAACAGTCTTAGGTAACTTAAATCGAATATTTTGAAAGACAAATATTAAAAATTTTAAAAATTATTAAAGGGGAGGTAGGGGGTGTGTCACCCACTAAAAGTTATGATTTCTACTTGAAACACAAAATTAGACTTGTGTTACGAAGTATTTATCTACATTGTTCTCCAGCTCTTTTTAATCGTTAAAAAGTATTGCAAAAGATGCTGTTGTATAAAGTTTTTAATTATAAAGGGGTCGTTTTTTTTAATTTTTGTCGTCCAATCCTTTCATTATTTGGAAACTTCGAAAATATCTCCGTCAACTTCAGCAAATCAATATTGTTTAAGATTTAAAAAAATCATTAAGAAATATCTGAACCCCCTTAGATTTTTCTTCTGGGCTTTCCGAGATTTAATAGAGAAAAATAAACACTATTAATTGTTCAAAGAAAACAGAGAGGTTTTCGTATATTTAACACCTTTAACCGAACGATAAAATCTTAATTAAACGATACCTTCTAAAATTACAAATTTAATACGACAGCACTTTTTCGAGTCATTAAACAAATCATCAGGGCTTAAATGTTGGTCCTAGTCCTAGTCCAATTCTTATGCAAATATTCAAAAAATAGATATTTGAAAAACAAATATTTGAAAAACAGATATTTGAAAAACAGATATTTGGAAAACAGATATTTGAAAAACAAATATTTGAAAAACAGATATTTGAAAAAAAAATATTTGGAAAACAGATATTTGAAAAACAGATATTTGGAAAACAGATATTTGGAAAACAGATATTTGAAAAATAGATATTTGAAAAACAAATATTTGAAAAACAGATATTTGAAAAACAGAGATATTTGGAAAACAGATATTTGAAAAACAAATATTTGAAAAACAGATATTTGAAAAACAAATATTTGAAAAACAGATATTTGAAAAACAGATATTTAAAAAAAACAGATATTTGAAAAACAGATATTTGAAAAATAGATATTTGAAAAACAGATATTTGAAAAACAGATATTTGAAAAACATATTTATTTAAAATTTATTTTTTAGTGATGTAGACAACTCATTCATCATGGAGGGTAACAGCGTCCAACCTGGACTTATGTTCACGAGCGATCCAGGATTCAATCCCTCGAGACCAGTAGGCCGTCCATCCAATCCATCCAATCCCAACAATCTATCCAATATATTCGTACAACCATCAACAACCCAATCCCCTTCTGTATTCAATCCAGTCCAATCCCCTCCTATATCTAATCCTATTTCAATCCAATTTCAATCTAATCCTATTCAATCCCCTCCTGTTTTTAATCCCTCTAATCCATCTGGTCCTTTTCCATTTGCAGTTTCTAGTACAGGTTTGTATCTATTTATATATATACTTTGTTTTTTAGGGTTTTTTGGTGTTTGTTTGTTTGTATCCAATAAACGTCAAAACGGCTGAACCGATCGGGCCTGAATATGTTGTGGGATCTCGTGTGACCCCAGGGATGGTTGATGGATGATGGAATTTTCTCAAATTTGCCTCTAACAAAATTAGATTTTTGAAAATTTTCAAAATCCATGAATTTATTCATAAAATCCGGGAAATTTTGTTTGTATTACAATGTTTACAAAAAGAACATGTTCACAATTAGAAGATGAGCGCGTAGCGCCCTAAAAGCCTGATATATAAATACTTTGCTTGTCTGGGTGTCTGTCTATCTGTTTCAGTTTGTATCCAATAAACGTCAGAATGGCTGACCCGATCGAGCCCAAATTTTGTGTGGGACCTCGCATGAGCCCAGGGAAGGTTTATAAATGCTCAGAATTACAAAAAGTTGTTTCCATAAGCTTTTGACTTTTATGAATTTCAAACTATGAATTCTGTTACATCGAATTATCTAAGTTTAAAATATCAAAGGTTTAGACCATCATGTTGTGGAGTTATACAGATTAGAAAATTTGAGTTTGTGGCAAAGACTAAATTTCATTTTAAAATGCGCGAAAAAATATTAAAAAATCCGCGAAGTTTGTTTGTTATAATTAATGTACACAGAGAAGATACTCCCAGATAGAACCACAATTAAAAATTTAAATGGACGAGGATACTGTGCGCCCTAAAAGCCTAGTGTTACATAAATATTAAAACTAAAATGTTAAAAAGCATGTTTATCTAAAGTCAGATGTAATCAATGAAAAGGAATTGAGTCTTTGTCATAAACTTTGAACCCTTTATCTTTTTTAACCCAATGTCGTATACCTGAGATATTTCAAACTATGAATTCTGCTAGATTAAATATAATTTATGTTAGAAATATCAAATGACAAAGTAATGATATAAAATTTATCAACAAATGTGAATGCGAAGTAACTTGGTTTTATTTTTTTGTTTGACAAAATGATAACTAATTGTGTTGTACTAGGCAATGTCCGTGTACCCCCCCGACCACCGCAACTGCCACTTCAACCTTCTCTACCAGTGAGTGGTGGTCAACTAAACCTCCAGAATCCACAATCAATTGGAAATCCGCCACTTAACTCTCAGCAAAATACGCAAACTTCTGCGGGTAGGTTACCCCCTCCTAGACCCTCTGGTCCCCCACCTCAACCTCAACCACAACAACAACAACCATTTCAACAACAGCAGTTTCAACGTCCCTCTCTTATCTCTAACGTATTTGGAATTTTTGGTTAAAAATATTGCAAAAAAACAATCATGACTCCGTCACTATAATTCGAATAATTCTAACCTTGCATCTCATTTCCGGAAGTTTGACTGTTATTATTTATGCTAAATTGCAAATTAAACCAGTCATGCAGAAATAGTCATTAGCATAGTTAATTTCGTTTTTTATAATTTACTAATTTCCAGATGGCTGGTTCCTTCAATTGATTCTTGAACGTCCATATTTTTTATACATTTTAAGGATGGATAATTTTGTATGTTTATTTCCAATTATACTGAAGTATAAATTTGTTTTTCTTGAGAAAAATACAAATTGGCGTTGGAAAAGAAATAGTGGAAAAAATGAAAGATTTAATACTTATTAGATATATTTTTTTCTTTGAAATTATATAATGTTGAAAAATTGACAATGAATATTAAAAAGTGCAAAACGAATAAATATAAATGAATAAAGTAAACGAATAAATTAATGTTTACAAAGCTAGAGAGAGAGGTAGATTGAAAAATATATTTACATATAATGCGTGTATAATATAATATAAATTGTATATAATAATATATATAATTTATTTTAAATTCGGTGATGGTGATTGACCAAACCTCTTATATATAAATATCAGATAGATAGATAGCATGCAAACTGCACTCTAAATTATTTCTCTAGGGACAGACTGGACCGGATTTATGATAAGAAGGAAATTAATGTGAATACACATGAAATTAGGTTACACCAGCAGCTACACAAGATTAAAGGGACTGTACGCTTGATTTCAAGTGTCCTTCAATTTTTAAAGTATTGCACGCAAATCTGCCCCTTTAGTAAAAGTAAATTCAACCTATATGAAGCATAAAGTCTGACCGCGTCAACCTTGTTGCACCGGCTAGTCCTGTCCATAGAGCTAGGTGCAGTACAAACTGGGACCGAAAAGGTTGACCCGGCTCGGAAATTCAAATGTACTACGGCTGCCCGAGATTGTGACTTTTCCTTATTCTACTTCAGAAGTACTTTAAATTGTTGAAAACTGACTGATTTATGTAAAGATTTTTAAAATTCAATATTTTGGAAACGGCATTAGAAATATGGGAGCTTGAGTTGAGTTGAGTTCAGACAGTACACTAAGTAAGTAAGTAAGTAAGTATTTATTTATGAAATATAACAAAAACGTTTATTTACTGTTTCAGGAGAAAATATTTTAAAACCTGAAAAAATAGAGGTTATGGGATTAAATCCCCCAATTCTATAAAAATAAAAAAATAGAAATCTAAAGAAAAGGAAAGATATGGAAATTATTATATATCTATTGTTTAAATTATATTTAATATAAAATGGTGGAGGATGGTACACTCGGCAGTTTTTCTCGTCAATTTGAACACATTTTTAGAAAAAAATAGATTTCTCTTTACTTGATGATAAACAAAGGTTTAAAGGTTACATCTGTAAATAGAGGCTAACTAAATTATGCCTAAGGACTAGCCGGTGCAACAAGGTTGACGCGGTCAGACTTGGAATTTACTTTTACTGAGGTGCGTGAATTAAATTATGCCTACAGTCCCTTTAAGAGACTGTTTATAAGCTACCGAGGAAGGATAATAGTATAATCTATAGTCAACATTTTCAAATGGAAAATAAGCATTGGCGTAGGGATAGAAACAGCTCACTGAAATCATGACTGGCTACAATTGTTGCAGAAATCGTGTTGGATCGACTGTACACTAAACAGCACATGAATCGTGTTGGGTCGACTGTACACTAAACAGCACATGAACCGTGTTGGGTCGACTGTACACTAAACAGCACATGAACCGGCACAGACCATGCAACTGTTAGATTGGGATGAGCTATTCAAATATGTTATACGCGTTGAATTATTGTGCGCCTATGCCCCGTGCACAGTTTTCACAAATGAAAAAAAGATATTAATAAATTAATAATATTAATAAATTAAATAAAAAAAAATATTAAGCTACATGAGTGGACTGTAGAGTTGATCTTGGTTTGCATTTTTGTCTACTACAATCAATAATGTAAATATTTACAGCCGTTATTCTTCATTGAGGTTGATATCGAATATTTATTTCTTGAATATTCTTTCCGAGAGGAATAGTAAACCTTTTTTCTTTTACATATTCAGAGGGGGCCGGGGAGGGGGGCAATTGTCCTTTTTTGTTTATCCCCACCATGTACCACCACATCTCTTATCTTAAAGTACTTACTCAAGTGCCAGCGTTGCCCGTGAAATATAAAGAACTAGGCTTTTAGGGCGCTTCGCGCCCATCTTCTATTTAAATTGTGAACATGTTCATGTTTACATTTAAAAACAAAGAAGAAAATAAAAAAAAAAATTCGCGGATTTTCAAGTTTAAACACATTTTTTTATTTTTATCATTTATACACCTTCCCTGTGGTCACGTGATGTCCCACAAAAAATTTGGGCCCGATCGGTTCAGCCGTTTTGACGTTTATTGGATACAAATAGACAGACAAACAAACAGACAAGCCAAATTTATATATAGATTATTCAAAATTATAGTTTATAGGTTTAGAGTGACAGACGACAGAACTAGACATTTTAACACAAAACATTCCCTTTTATAGAGAATAACATATTCTGCGTCTCTGTATTAAAGGATTATATATGTTTACAGCGGGACCCAGCAAATGGTGGAATAGGAGGACGACATATATATATATATATATATATATATATATATATATATATATATATATATATATATGTCTTATCATTATATAGCTTGCGAATAAAATTGGTCTTTGTTCATTGCACACAATTTATGTGTCATGTGAACTATTTGAAAACATTTCAAGTCTCTAACAGTTGCATTCCGTTTCCACAGTTCTATGCATGGATGGGTCCCATCTACATAACAAAGTTAATAATATATATATATTTGTATATATATTCATTTATATTTTAGCTATAGCTGGCTGCAGGCTGGACCAATTGGCTGAGATTTTTAGGGAACCCAAGGGTACCCTTACTTCTGTATGCCGAGTCCATTAGCGCCTGATCCAATCTGGGTTCAATCATGTGTTTGGTGTCTAGCATCTATCTTTCAAAAAAAAATTGATGTTTTTCGTTCAAAATTTGACATTTTTTCTCTGTAAAATTCAATTTTTTCAATGGCAACGCCGGATACTTCAGTTGAAAATATTTTCCTATTTGTTTCTAATCAGATTATCTTTCTATAGATTGTTATTCCATTTTCTCTAATCCGGAGAACACTCCAGGTCTGATTTTATTAATATTATTGCTTCTCTCAGAATAAAAAATAATCTTGATAGACATAGATAGATAGATAGATAGATAGATAGATAGATAGATAGATAGATAGATAGATAGATAGATATATAGATAGATAGATAGATAGATAGTTAAATAAATATATAGATAGAAATACATATATAGATAGATAGATAAACTATAAAGCAATAATCAGAGCAGCGTCTCAGTTTTCATATTAATAATACAAATATTTTCGGATTGCTTCTCTTCAGTTAATAATTATGGTTTAACATAGATAGATAGATAGATATATAGATAGATAGAAAGATAATTAAATAGATTAATAGATAGATTGAATTTATTTTTTTTGCTTTTTACTTGAGACATTTTCAAGATATTCTGCAAAAGCAAGAAATATACTGTATGCATGATGTTACAATCATAAATGTAGATAAAGGAAATTAAATTTTAAAAAGATTTATTTAAATATTTACATTTTCTATAGAAAAATTAAAAATGATGCAACTATTTGATATAACATAACTACTTCTGAATCTTTGGCTTGGTATTTAACTGTTTGAACCAAATTCAATTTTATGCTACATTATTTTTTGATAAATCTGATCGGAAAATTTAGACTTTTTAAAAACTAAATTTTCTGATGATTTTTTTTTAACAAATTGTGTATAGCCTAATATTTGTCAAAGGGTGATTAGCACACTCAAATCTAAACCAAATAATATAAATTTAAGTTTCTTAAGTTTTCTCAAACATTGCAATTCGATTAAACATTTCTATTCTACCTTTTGCTCCACTGCCAGCGGGAACCATTACAGCTAGCTGCACGCAAACTTTTTTATTTTATATATCTGTTCAATGCTGTACAATGTTATACACTGTATTCGGCTTAATAAAGTTAATAAATTTGGCTTAATAAAGTTGATAGATTTGGCTTAGTAAAGTTGATAAATTTTGCTTAATAAAGTTGATAGATCCGGCTTAATAAAGTTGATAAATTTGGCTTAATAAGGTTGATAGATCCGGCTAAATAAAGTTGATAAATTTGGCTTAATAAAGTTGATAGATTTGACTCAATAAAATTGATAGATTTGACTCAATAAAGTTGATAGATTTGACTCAATAAAGTTGATAGATTTGACTCAATAAAGTTGATAGATTTGACTCAATAAAGTTGGCTCATTTCGGTGAAAGTTTGTTGGAGTTCATCATTGATTGCTTTACACTTGAGCTTCTGAGCAATGAGTTCATCTTCTAGTTGATCTATCTGAAGATGGATTCTCTGCACATTCATCTCTCCATACTCCGCTCTACGCTCTGCATCCTGTACATAAATATCATGTAAACTGTACAGAGAGACTTTCATATCATGTACACAGAGGATCGATAAGAATTTAATAAAGATTTGTATCCTGAGAATTTTTTTCTGACTGGTCATAGCTAGTTATGTGCCTTCAGTTGGTTCCTTTTTGTCTGGTCATAGTTAGTTATGTGGCTTCAGTTGGTTCCTTTTTGTCTGGTCATAGCTAGTTATGTGAATCAGTTGGTTCCTTTTTGTCTGGTAATAGTTAGTTATGTGGCTTCAGTTGGTTCCTTTTTGTCTGGTCATAGCTAGATGTGAATCAGTTGGTTCCTTTTTGTCTGGTCATAGCTAGTTATGTGCCTTCAGTTGGTTCCTTTTTGGCTGCTTTTTGCAGACATTTTCTTTCAGGGTCAACGTTTGACAAAGTGTAAGAAAATAAATTTTTAAAACTTGTTAATTCTAAACATTTTTTTACACTATGTCAAATAAATGGCAGAAGATAAATGCAAACACGATGCAAAAACGATGCATTAACGATGCATAAACGATGCATAAACGATGCATAAACGATGCATAAACGATGCAAAAACGATGCAAAAACGATGCAAAAATGATGGAAGAACAAACGTTGTAACAATTGTTTTTACATTTTGTTCATATTATAAAGATATTGTCACGTTTAATAAAATCAAATTTTTACATCTTACAAGTTTTTTTAAAGGACAAAAACCCCGATCCTAAACGATTAACAGCACTAGTTATAGCTCTAAAATAGTTTTTTAATAGCAACCATTTAAGAACTAAAAATGAATAACATCTCTGATTTTCCTGTTTTGAATTTAGACCTTTCCTTTAGTGAAGTTGTTTTGATGGTTAGTAGATGCAAAAAACCAACAGACAATACAAACAAGATTGTTTGTCTGTCTTTATCCAATAAACGTTAAAACAGATAAACCGATTAGGCCCAAATTGGTTTATATGTAATCTATATAAAAAAGCTCTTCACTAAAATAAATATATACATATATGTCAGCTTTAAGCTGGCCAAACGGCTGGATCAAATGGGCTGACATTTTTAGGAAACCCATGGGTACCTTGGGAGTAACAAAGACTAAAAAAACGATTAAAAAATGTTTTAAAAAAGTTTTTTTTCTCCCAAAAATAAATTTTTTTAATAAAATTATTTTCAAAAATCATTTTTTTCAAAATTCGATTTTTGAAAAATTCCCCCGCCAACGCCGGGCACTCCAGGTAGTCAACATATTACCTTGAGCCTAGATGATAAATGTCGTATTTGATCCTTTAGAACATCTTCTCTTAGATGCGCTTTCTCTTCGCTCACCTTTAATATAAAAACAGGTTTATATATTCTCATAAACTTCCCTTTAATACAAAACAGGTTTATATATTCTCATAAACTTCCCTTTAATACAAAACAGGTTTATATATTCTCATAAACTTCCCTTTAATACAAAAACAGGCTTATATATTCTCATAAACTTCCCTTTAATACAAAAACAGGTTGATATATTCTCATAAACTTCCCTTTAATACAAAAACAGGCTTATACATTCTCATAAACTTCCCTTTAATACAAAAACAGGTTTATATATTCTCATAAACTTCCCTTTAATACAAAGACAGGTTTATATATTCTCATAAACTTCCCTTTAATACAAAAACAGGTTTATATATTCCAATAAACTTCCCTTTAATACAAAAACAGGTTTATATATTCTCATAAACTTCCCTTTAATACAAAAACAGGTTTAAATATTCTCATAAACTTCCCTTTAATAAAAAAACAGGTTTATGTATTCTCATAAACTTCCCTTTAATACAAAAATAGGTTTGTATATTCTCATAAACTTCTTTTAATACAAAAACAGGTTTATATATTCTCATAAACTTCAATTTAATACAAAAACAGGTTTAAATATTCTCATAAACTTCCCTTTAATATAAAAACAGGTTTATATATTCTTATAAACTTCCCTTTAATACAAAAACAGGTTTATATATTCTCATAAACTTCCCTTTAATACAAAAACAGGCTTATATATTCTCATAAACTTCCCTTTAATACAAAAACAGGTTTAAATGTTCTCATGAACTTCCCTTTTTTATCCAAAAATTATTATACCACAAAACTACTTTCAAATCATGATTTCAAACCTCTAAATAATAATAATGATTTTGATCCTCTAAATCAAATCTTACCCCCATAGTCCTAAAAGATTTTTTTGTTGATATTTTTCAATTTTTTTGAAGGGGGAGATATAACAGAAACATAATTGATGGTCATCAAAAGTTTAAGGTCTGTAATTATAAAGATAAGAACTGTTCCACATTAAGAAACTATTTTATTTATCTGAAGGAACAAAATTCCTGAATGCTTATTTTACCTCCATTGATTTCATGTTATCTCCGACGATCCTAAGTTCAGTTTCCAGAGCAATTATTTTATCTTCACTTCCATCCGCCTGAACAAGTTTAAGCTTAGAGACGGGCCCGTTCGGCTTTTTCAAATTCATTCGTTCATACTTCGCTCATTTAACAACCGTTTTTGTTCAGTCGTTCAGAAAATATTTGAATTTGTTCATACGAAATATATAAATAAAAGAAGCATCAAATTGAATAAAAATTGACATAGTTTTACAAAATATAGCATAGACTGTTTTTTAGATTGACATTGCAAAATTTCCGACAAAATGAAAATATTCTGATAATCTATTCAATTACAAACATTGCATCAAATGTAGCTTGCATTGATTCATAATGATTTCAATTTTTAATTACTTTTCCCGTTCATATATTTATCCTTGAATGGATCCTGTAATCCCTCAATATATTTAGATGTCGTCTTTGATACAAAGATCAATTGCGGAAGAAAAAATCATATATTTTATAGCAAACGCACAAGAAAGCACAGAAATTTGAGTTTGTGGCAAGAACTCAGTTTCCTTTTCAGTGAAAAAAGAACCCATTTAAAAAAAACTAAATTGTTAAAACTGAAATACTGAACTGTGCTGTAAAAAAATTGCGGTTTTGTCTAAAGACGTTTAAAGACTATAAAGTCGTCTACTATAAAATCGTCTACTATAAAGTCGTCTACTATAAAGTCGTCTACTGTAAAGTCGTCTACTATAAAGTCGTCTACTATAAAGTCGTCTACTATAAAGTCGTCAATTATAAAGTCGTCTACAATAAAGTCGTCAACTATAAAGTCGTCTACTATAAAGTCGTCTACTATAAAGTCGTCTACTATAAAGTCGTCTACTATAAAGTCGTCTACTATAAAGTCGTCTACTATAAAGTCGTCAACTATAAAGTCGTCTACTATAAAGTCGTCTACTATAAAGTCGTTTACTATAAAGTCGTCTACTAGAAAGTCGTCCCTGTACATCTTACCTTGTTTAATGCCTTGTTAAGATCTGTTTCCAGCATATTCAGCTTCCTCGCTACTTCCTCCCACTTCCTCTCTGCATCTCCTGCCAAGTACTTTGCTTCCTAGACAGAAGACATGTTTTCAATCTTTTCCAGATAAACTCTCACTTTTCCAGATAAACTCTCACTTTTCCAGATAAATTCTCACTTTTCCAGATAAACTCTCACTTTTCCAGATAAATTCTCACTTTTCCAGATAAATTCTCACTTTTCCAGATAAACTCTCACTTTTCCAGATAAATTCTCACTTTTCCAGATAAATTTTTTAGAAACTTTCAAATTACCTTAAGTTTATTTTCAAGTTGTTCTATGTTATCCTCTCTACAAGTTGTCTCTATTTCCAACTGTTTCCTGACAAAAATTATTAATTAGATAGAAAACTTTTTTTTTTAAATTCTATAAATCCATTTTTTTTGTCAGAAATGTAAGCAAAGTAAAAAAGAGGCTATATGAGTCAGGTGATCAAATTTAAAAAAAAATATTTTATTTATTAATTATTTCTAGATGATTTAGAACAAATTCCTGATTTAAAATGCGTTCCCAACTTAGAACGCGTTCTTGATAATAAGAACGCGTTCCTGATTCCAAACGTTCTTTTCAAGCAATTTCCGTTCCGTTCCTTTACAAATCGTTCCAATATTTTTAAGAACGCGCTGTATGCGTTCGTTCTTTTTTTCGAAATGATGGGATCGTTCTTGATCGTTCTGTTCGTTCTTGTGAAAGAACGATCGTTTGACAAAACATTTTACAGTGAGAGTCGCCTTCTTTTTCCTTTTTGTTATCATTCAGTTTTATACTCCCTCACCTCCTCCTTACCTTTTACCTGATTTATTATCATTCTATGTTTAAAATGTACAATGTACATTGTTTTTATCTGCAATTCTCATTCGTTTATAGTTGGCCAACCAATTAAAACAACCTACTCTGGTTAGGCGGGTCCAAACTACATAGTAAATTGTGATTTTTTATTTGTATTATCTCGTGCTTTGTAGTCGAATAAAAATATGAAATCTAACAATAAAGACGACTTTCGATTTCAATTTAAATTTTATTAAGCTTTGAAACATCATAGATACACATAAACATGGAAACAACGAGAAGTTATCGATTATAAAAAGCTTCTCTTTGATTACTTGTAATTAAAAAAAGCTTGTAAATAATTCAACCCTAATAAAAAAGTCGTCTTTACTGTATTACTATAATCGCCTACCACAGTATGTTGCTAAGGCTTTTTAACTTGCAATTAAACTAATCTAAAAATATTCTAAACATAGTTGCAAAAATTGCTTTAGCTGAAAACGTTATTAACATTAATTAAGAAAAATCAATCAAAAAGACGACATTCATTCCACAGTTTTCTGGTTCTCAGTGTATTTGTGAAAACAAAAAGATAAGTTTAGAAATAAATAATATAGAATAATACTTGGGCTTTTTTAACAAGATTTTCAAAGGTTCATAGAGAGTTTTAAAGATTGCAAATGCTTTTGGATGAAGAAATGTAAATGAGGTTGTGGTTTAAAGGAATTGAGTTTTTGCCACAAACTCTGATATTCTTATCCCAATATCTTTTCAACCCGATGTTGTAGAGCTTTGATATTTCAAACTACGAAAGCTGTTATATTAAATAATCTAAGTTTGAAATATCAAATATGTACTCCATCAGATTGTAAAGATATAGGAATTAGAAAATTTTTGTTTGTGCCAAAGACTCAATTCCTTTGTTAGAAAACAAAAAAATATTAGTTCTTTGTGCAATGTAATTAATTTGATTAAAAGAGCTGTGTTCTAAAAGTATAAAATAGTGTATTCTAAAAGTACAAAATAGTGTGTTCTAAATGTACAAATTCGTGTGTTTTATAAGTACACAAGAGGCCAAGTTACGTGGTAAATATATTCTCATCGTATACAGAGTGTCCCAATAAACATGGAAATCAAGAGACGCATTAACAATCGTCTTAATTTCTCAATAATCGCCAAAGGGGGACATGCATAAAGTTTTTTTTGGGCTTTTCAGAATGTGGTCTGCCTTTGATATCTAATAAATTGACCGGGATATTAAGTTTAAAGTGTAAGACTAGTTGCTACAATATTGTTTACAAAGATTGAAGATGGTTTAAAAAGTCCTCGACGCCCATGTTTATTGGGACAACCTGTACTTGAGAAGCTAATAAGACAAATGTTCTTTTTTGTTGACCTGATACGTTCTGCACCATCTGCCCTCTGGCTGTATACAACCATGTTTGTTGTATTATTCCCTAATGTATCCTCACTTCTTTCAACCTAGACAAATAAAGGATATTTTAAAATTAACCGAACTTGATGGAAAATTCACGAACAAGAAGAAAATGAAGATTAAGAAAAACAGAAATATCAAAATATTTGCAGCTGCTATCATCTAGGTATTTATAGAAATTTGCTACAATTAAAATTTATAAAATAAATATGTTAAAAAAAGATATTTAGAAATAAAAAAAGATTTGTTAATGTAATTTTATGTAATCTTCCACGCAAAGATAGAAATTTACGAGTTACATTGGTATACCCTTGCAACCTTTATCTGATCAAAAATGTTGAAGATAATTTCGTTTTTCTGACTCAAAAAATGTTTATTTCTGTGAATTTCTCCATTGTTTCTTATAAGTCAAAAAATGCGCGCGCGCTACACTTTAACAGAGAAACAATAATAAAACTAAACAGTTTAAATACACAAAAACATAGATATCTAATTTATACTTTAACAGGTCAAACATCGGAATATTTTATTTTTTCATGTTTATCTAAAACTTTTTTTAAGGAAATAGTTTTCCGCACCGTTTCATGAAATTGTTTACCTGTGCTTCCTTGAGTATTATTGTTCTCTCCAGCTGAGCAATATCTTGTTCTGCTATTCTTTAATCACAAGAAATATTTATCAATTTTGTAAAGGAAAACAATTAATATCTTGTTCTGCTATTCTTTAATCACAAGACATATTTATCAATTTTGTAAAGGAAAACACTTAATATCTTGTTCTGCTATTCTTTAATCACAAGACATATTTGTCAATTTTGTAAAGGAAAACAATTAATATCTTGTTCTGCTCTTCTTTAATCACAAGACATATTTTTCAATTTTGTAAAGGAAAACAACTAATATCTTGTTCTGCTATACTTTAATCACAGAACATATTTATCAATTTTATAAACGATAAAAAACGTTTATTAATAACAAAAGAACTTTTAAAACTTAACAGTTGTCACAAGTTCTGATTTTTTCATACCTATATCTATGTAACCTGATGCCATAGAACTATGATAGTTCAAACTTTGACTTTTAGTACATACAAAAGAATTTAAAACTGTGACGAGTGATTGATTCCTTTGCTAGTAAATATAATTTTAATTAAGTCTCTGAAAATAACTATGATCACATTTTTTTGCCCACGGGAATGGGAATTGGAAATGGGGAATTGGGAATGGGAAAAATTCAAGGTGGTTTGTATTCAGGCAGTATGCCCCAGTTTTGAGCCTAAAGCTATGGGCGTGTCATAGAAAAGTAAAAAAAATAAGCAGCCTCAGACTAATACTTTTTGAGTTATGTCCAAATAACAGTGGGAATAGGGTTAAGTATATAACATATAAAACTGAAAATATTTATTCTTCACCAAACTAAATGATCAGTTAGAAAGTTGTGAAAATTTGCTAACTTTGATCGATACAATAGTTTATTGAATAAATATCTAATTTCCTAAATAGTTTTTCTTTTTCCTCTGCTTTAATCTCTGCTAGGATTAAAGATTCATTCATTGAATCCAGCTGGTTTTCCTGAAACAAGGATTAAAGATTCATTCATTGAATCCAGCTGGTTTTCCTGAAACAAGGATTAAAGATTCATCGATTGAATCCAGCTGGTTTTCTGAAACATGGATTAGAGTTCATTCATTGAATCCAGCTGGTTTTCCTGAAACATGGATTAGAGTTCATTCATTGAATCCAGCTGGTTTTCCTGAAACAAGGATTAGAGATTCATTGATTGAATCCAGCTAGTTTGCTGAAACAAGGATTAGATATCCATTCATTGAATCCAGCTGGTTTCCTGAAACAAGGATTAGATATCCATTCATTGAATCCAGCTGGTTTCCTGAAACAAGGATTAGAGATTCATTGATTGAATCCAGCTGGTTTGCTGAAACAAGGATTAAAGAACTAGGTTATCTAACTTTAAAAGTATTCATTTCTGATAAGTTTTCCTGGAAAGAAATGCGCAAGTCATTTTTTTACATAACCAAAATTGTATATAATCAGCTGTTAGAATCATAAAAACATTGGTATCTAATCAATACTTGATCAGGCAAAACTTTCAAGGGTCATTTCACTTTAAACCAAAAGTCTAGCGGTATTTTGTCAATTACTCCGTTTAAACTAAAGCCAGAAACAAGTGCATTGCATTTTTAAAATGTATATATCTATGGCTTCAAAAAAGTATAATTGAGCTTGTTAGGTAAAACCAAAGGCCAAGGCGTTGCGACACTTAAAATTTCGATGCTGTCTTAAAATTTGATGAATAAGACTCAAAGTTGAGATCTCTGTGGCTTACAGTCTCTTTAAGTTATCAAACAGAGCCGGCAATTGCCCCCCTTTTCTAGATTATCACTTGCCCGTGGAAAAAATAAAAAATATCTTAAAAAAATATTTAAAAAATCCTTTATGGAAAAGATCAATTTTTTTAGCCTAAAACACCCCATTGCCACCCATGATTGTCCACAAAAAGTTTTAGTCCATATATATATATATATACACGAATGTCTTGTTCTATTATATAGATAGAATCAAAACCCATCAGAAATTGCTTGAAGTTTGCTATTAAAAAAAAGTTACAGTCCCCGTAGTTTGATCAAATTCAAAAATAAAATTTGTACCTTTTCATTTAATTTCTTTTGAAAATGTCGTTGTTTCTCCTCCATCTTTTCTGCTCTATCATTAGCTTCAGTAGCTGCACTCTCAAGAGCGTTTGCTTTAGTAACAGCTCGGTCTGTCTCCTCTCTGTAGGGATTAAGTTTTATTAGAAGCTCAGAGCTGACAACTTTGTGTTGAAAACTTATAATCTTAATTGCTTGATTCACTGTGGACACTTGACATACGAGGATTCATAGTTCTTATGGATCCTCCTTTCCATATCTTCACTTTAGATATTCCTCCCCTATCAAACCTTCCTTCAACCCATGACTGGGTACGCTTAAATTTAAGATTAAATTAATCTGCAGATTATCTAAAGATCAAGATTGAGCACCACAATACAATAGTTACAAGCTCAAGGTAAAACTAAGATTCTTAATTTGTTCCAGATCAAATGAAATCTTTGCAAGACTGTAAGGAAAATTTTTCTGAACCTCTTAATAAAGCTAAACCATTGAAACGTTTGGGAATTGTAAGGGCGATCATTTCTTTAACTAAAAATAATGATAAAAAATCATTAAGAGAAATAGTATTTTTTTCCTACTACTGTTCTGTAACTTTCTAGAAAGGTTCCACCCTAAATTTTCAAAAGTTGTTAAAATGGTTTTGCATTTTGTTATTATTAATTAACCCTTTCTCCGATACATATTAAACCCTTTTTATAACTAATTAACCCTTTGTCCAAATTAAATTTTTTTTTAAACAGAATCAATAAACTCTTTTACCTAATAAATACACTCCAAGTCCTAATTAACAACATAATCATTCTGATTATTAAACCCTTAATTCCTAATTTTAAAAGCCCTTTGTCCTAATTAATAAACCCTTTCTCCTTATTTTAAAATCCGTTGTCCTGATTAATAAACCCTTTCTCCTTATCTTAAAATCTGTTGTCCTTGATAAACCCGTTATTCTAATTTTTAAAACTTTGTCCGAATTAAAGAAACCTTTGTCCTAATTCATACACCTTTTGTCCTAAATATTAAACCCTTTGTCTTGACTAAAAAACCCTTTGCTAACAAATAATCCATTTGCCCTAATTAATAAACCCTTTGTCCTAACTAATAAATTCTTTGTTCTATCTAATATACCCTTTGTCCTAACTAATAAACCCTTCGTTCTATCTAATATACCCTTTGTTCTATCTAATAAACCCTTTGTTCTAACTAATAAACACTTTATCCTAATTTTATAACCCTTTGTCAAAATTAATAACATGTTTGTCATATTTAATAGATCTTTTGTCCTATTTAGAAATTTGCAAATTCTTTGTCCTTATCATAAACGCTTTGTCTCAAATAAGCAAAAGAAAAACCTTTGATCTACAAAGTGGGAAAAATTCTTGAATTTAAAACTTGAAGTTTAAACAAATTGACCACTCTGTTTTGTATTTCACATTTTAGCAAAGAACTTTTTTTCTTTTGAAGTCAAATGGGTTCCTGTCAACATCTCAACAAGTAAAATTAGAAAACTTATTTTTAGATAAAACCAAAAAAAAACTTTCCTGAGAGCAACCATCTTCTTTTTAATTGCATCCATTTTTTAATAGATCTTATCTGAGAAAAAACAGTATAAATTAAATCAGTAAAAGATAAAGCAATAAACGCATTTTGAAGGAAACCTAAAGGAATATTAAATTAATATTAAAGGAAAATTAAAGAAATATTAAAAGAATATTAAAGGAATATTAAAGAAGTATTTAAAGAGAATGAAAGGAATATTAAAGGAGTATTAAAGGGAAAATAAAGGAATATTAACGAAGTATCAGAGGAGAAATAAAGGAATATTAACGAAGTATTAAAGGAGTAATAAAGGAATATTAAAGAAGTATTAAAGAAATATTAAAAGAATATTAAAGGAATATTAAAGGCGTATTAAAGGAGTATTAAAGGAGTATTAAAGGTCTATTGTAGGAATATTATAGGAATACCAAAGGAGTATTCAATGAATATTAAAGGCGTATATAAGGAGTATTAAATGAATATTAAAGGAGTATAAAGAAGTATAAAAGGAATATTAAAGGAGTATAAAGAAGTATTAAAGATATATTAAAGGAGTATAAAAGGAATGTTAAAGGAGTATAAAAAGAGCATTAAAAGAATATTTAAGGAGTATAAAAGGAGTATTAAAGGAATACTAAAGGAATATAAAAGGAGTATTTAAGGAATATTAAAGGAGTATTAAAGGAATATTAAAGGAGTATACAAGGATTATTAAATGAATAATAAAGTAGTATAAAAGGCGTATTAAAGGAATATTAAAGGAGTATCAAAGGAGTATTTAAGGAATATTAAAGAAGTAAAAAAGGAGTATTTAAGGAATATTAAAGGAGTATAAATGGAGTATTTAAGGAATACTAAAGGAATATAAAAGGAGTCTTAAAGGAATATTAAAGGAGTATTAAGGGGATATTAAAGAATATTAAAGAAATATTAAAGGAGTAAAAAAGGAGTATTTAAGGAATATTAAAGGAGTATAAATGGAGTATTTAAGGAATTCTAAAGGAATATAAAAGGAGTTTTAAAGGGATATTAAAGGGATATTAAAGGAATATTAAAGGAATATTAAAGGAATATTAAAGGAATATTAAAGGTGAATTAAAGGAATATAGAATGAGTTGTGTAGTAGAACTGAGGATTTATCCAAATGTTGTCGTGTCAGCAGATTTTGCTTTCAAGTTTAGGTCGCAGCTACATAGTACCCTGGGTCATCTTATCCTGATCTATCTGTCTATATATATATATACATATATATATATATACATATATATATATACATATATATATATATATACATATATAAATTATCTTTCTACCTATATGTTTATCTATCTATCTATCATCTGTATATCCATCTAATTCATCTATTAATCTAATTATCTGTCTGTCTATCTATCCATTCAATTTTCTTTATCCATCCTTTCATCTATCTATCTATCCATCCATCTATCTACCAAGATAAAAAAAAATCATAGATGGATACATTTTTAAAAAATCTAAATATTTTTTTTTTTTTTTTTAAGTTGATAGCCCATAGTCTTCCCTTGTCCCAATGCTCGGCCCCTAACCAGTCCTATACTGCAGCGCTCGGCCCAGAAAAATTGTCTTATGTTTTGATTTATAGAACACACTGTCGTAGTTCGGATTGCAGTAGGTCAAATGTATCTTAGACCTAAATTAGTGTAGGATGATTCGTAGGATCAAAGTAATATTACCCAAAACCACTGTTTCAGAATAAACCACAGAAAGCGACATAAATTCCCAGAGAGATGCTGAGTTTGCCCCTGGTAGTTTCAGCACCCTGACCCCTCACAGTAGATGCTGAGGTTGCCCCTGGTTTCTGGTAGTTGCAGCAGCCGGACCCTTCACAGTAGATGCTGAGGTTGCCCCTGGTTTCTGGTAGTTGCAGCAGCCGGACCCCTCACAGTAGATGCTGAGGTTTCCCCTGGTTTCTGGTAGTTGCAGCATCCGGACTCTTCTCAGTAGATGCTGAGGTCGCCCCTGGTTTCTGGTAGTTGCAGCAGCCGGACCCCTCACAGTGGATGCTGAGGTTGCCCCTGGTTTCTGGTAGTTGCAGCAGCCGGACCCCTCACAGTAGATGCTGAGGTTGCCCCTGGTTTCTGGTAGTTGCAGCACCCGGACCCCTCACAGTAGATGATGAGGTTGCCCCTGGTTTCTGGTAGGTGTAGCACCCGGACCCCTCACAGTAGATGCTGAGGTTGCCCCTGGTTTCTGGTAGTTGCAGCAACCGAACCCCTCACAGTATGCAATGTTTAGTGTTTTAAGTTCATGTACTATTTGCTTTAAAATTTGATGTTTACATTATCAAAGATAAAAAATGAAGGGACCACACAATATCTTTTTCTAATCTGAAAGCGGAAACGTATTTAAACGGAAAACTTAAATTACATAAATACAGACTGCTAAGAAAAATTGCACCAATTTTCGAGAATGAGTTGATTTTTATGTGTAGCATTGTTAGCTATATTTATTAATATTAGTTTTACTTTTCAGAGATAACTGTTATCTACGATAAAGTTAAAATCTATTTACCTGGTTGGCCAAAGAAAAGGTCACCTTTGTACAAATCAAGGTTGCTTACTCTTGATGCGCTCCGATGTATGGGAAATGTCGTCTTCTAAGCAAAGATAGATAAAGCAAAATATAAAGTCACGCTCACATGTCTGATCGCATTTTTTTGTTTCATTCACAATCCTACGGTGAAGAATTGGCTGATTTCGTTCACAATCCTTCGGTTAAGGCCTGGCTGGTTTCATTCAGAATCCTACGGTTAAGGGCTGGCTGGTTTTATTCACAATTCTACGGTTAAGGGCTGGCTGGTTTCATTCACAATCCTACGGTTAAGGGCTGGCTGGTTTCATTCACAATCCTATGGTTAAGGGCTGGCTGGTTTCATTCACAATCCTACGCTTAAGGGCTGGCTGGTTTTATTCACAATTCTACGGTTAAGGGCTGGCTGGTTTCATTCACAATCCTGCGGTTAAGGGCTGGCTGGTTTCATTCACAATCCTACGGTGGAGAGTTGGCCGGTTTCATTCACAATCCTACGGTGGAGAGTTGGCTGGTTTCATTCACAATCCTATGGTGGAGGGTTGGCTGGTTTCATTCACAATCTTAAGGTGGACAGTTGGCTGGTTTCATTCACAATTATATGGTGGAGGGTTGGCTGGTTTCACAATTCTATGGTGGATGGTTGGCTGGTTTCATTCACAATCCTACGGTGGAGGGTTGGCTGGTTTCATTCACAATCTTAAGGTGGACAGTTGGCTGGTTTCATTCACAATTATATGGTGGAGGGTTGGCTGGTTTCATTCACAATTCTATGGTGGATGGTTGGCTGGTTTCATTCACAATCCTACGGAGGAGGGTTGACTGGTTTCATGCACAATCCTATGGTGGAGGGTTGGCTGGTTTTATTCACAATCCTACGCTTTAGGGTTGGCTGGTTTCATGCACAATCCTATGGTGGAGAGTTTGCTGGTTTTGTTCACAATCCTATGGTAGAGAGTTTGCTGGTTTCATTAAAAATTATACGGTGTAGGGTTGGCTGGTTTCATGCACAATTCCATGGTGGAGGGTTGGCTGGTTTCATTCACAATCCTACGGTGGAGGGTTGGCTGGTTTCATTCACAATCCTACGGTGGAGGGTTGGCTGGTTTCATGCACAATCCTAAGGTGAAGATTTGCTGGTTTCATTCACAATTCTATGGTGGAGAGTTTGCTGGTTTCATTCACAATCATAAAGTGTAGAGTTTGCTGGTTTCATTCACAATTCTATGGTGGAGGGTTGGCTGGTTTCATTCACAATCCTACGATGGAGAGTTGACTGGTTTCATTCACTATCCTATGGTAAAGAGTTTTCTGGTTTCATGCACAATCCTATGGTGTAGGGTAGACTGGTATCATTCACAATTCTTTTGTGGAGGGTTGGCTGGTTTCATGCACAATCCTATGGTGGAGAGTTTGCTGGTTTTATTCACAATCCTACGATGGAGGATTGACTGGTTTCATTCACAATTCTATGGTGAAGGGTTGGCTGGTTTCATGCACAAGCCTATGATGGAGAGTTGGCTGGTTTCATTCACAATCCTACGGTGGAGGGTTGGCTGGTTTCATGCACAATCCTATGGTGGAGAGTTTGCTGGTTTCATTCACAATCCTACGGTGGAGGATTGACTGGTTTCATGCACAATTCCATGGTGGAGGGTTGGCTAATTTCATTCACAATCCTAAGGTGGAGAGTTGGCTGGTTTCATTCACAATCCTACGGTGGAGGGTTGGCTGGTTTTATTCACAATCCTACGGTGGAGAGTTTGCTGGTTTCATTCACAATTCTATGGTGGATGGTTGGCTGGTTTCATTCACAATCCTATGGTGGAGGGTTGACTGGTTTTATTCACAATCCTACAGTGGAGAGTTTGCTGGTTTCATTCACAATTCTATGGTGGATGGTTGGCTGGTTTCATTCACAGTCCTACGGTGGAGGGTTGACTGGTTTCATGCACAATCCTATGGTGGAGGTTTCATTCATAAGCATAGGGTGGAGGTTTCATTCATAATCCTAGGGCGGAGGTTTGGCTGGTTTCTTAAAAAAACGTCTTGAATCGACCATATTAACCGTGTGGCCAGCTACAGTCAAAGAATGCATATGAATGAAGAGCTTTATTAAATGATATATATATAGACATATTCAAATCTAAAAAAATGTGTGAAATAATTGAAAACGCCTTTTGAAATATTTTTTGCAGGTCTGCCCTTAAATAATTATTGCTGACGACCTACGCAGGTTTGTCATGAAAATAAAGTACAAATACAGCACACACTGTAACGCTTATCTTTAAATTAATAAACACTGGTAGCCTAGGTAATCAAAACAATAGTTTAATGGGAGAGAAAAAGAAAATTTTGTGTATCACAATTATTTTTTATATTGTAATTTTTTTACCTTTTTTAAAATTTGCCATTTAAGTATTCTGGGACATCAACAAATCTTTTAAAACATCAGTATTCAGTATAGACCAGGAATCTTAAAGAGTGTTACACAATCTTGCTTAATAACAACAGCATTTTCCCACTGGGTTAGTTATTTTAAACTAAGTTTAGTTTGTATACAGTGAACAGTTGGGGAACTCTAAAACTTTCTCACCATTGAAACTGGCATTTAGGAAAATGGGAGGTTTCTGCCTTTATAGAAACCCCCCATTTCCCAGCGTGAGCGTTTTCTGCCAAAAAGAAACCGCAAAATTGAAAAGTTTTACAAACATAAAAATAGTTTTTTTGCTAAACATTACCTTCCCTACCATGAGAAAAGAATGATTAAAACAAACCAAAAATAATCTTTTAAAAATGCCTGTTTATTTTGAGCCTAGTTTTTCTTATATATTTTCTCTTAAAATAAAATCTTTATATTATTTGATAAAAGGAGACTTTCACAGAATACTGTTACAAAATTTGCTTAATTGTCTACATAATTATGTTAAGTAAACATCAGTTACATAATCACATAGCTAGTATAAAAATGATTTGAACTTCATGTTTTTATCAGTATTCCTCAGAATGGTGTCCCGAATGCTTATACTCATAGCTCTTTACATTAGCTCAGTTGCAGGAGAAACCGAGGAAGCACCTTACACAGTCTTGAAAGAGCATCAAGGCTGGGAGGAGAGAGAGTTCCCTGCCACTAAATGGGTTTCCATTGACGTCTTCTCAATCACCGTCCATGATTCTCCTGAACAACAAAAGGCCTTCTTCCAATTATTTAACTACATTGATGGCCAAAACTCAGAAGGAATGAAAATACCTATGACTGCTCCTGTAAGTTTTAGAATATTACCAGGAGAAGGACCAAACTGTGAGAGTAATTTTACTTTATCCTTTTATATCCCATCCAATCTACAGGAGAATACCCCTCTACCCTTGGATTCAGCTGTTTATATTGAAGAGAGAGCCCCAATAAAAGTAGCAGCCAAGACGTTTGGAGGTTTTGTCAACAGCGATATTGAGTTTGCTATTCAGGCAGCAGAACTTTATGAATTGGCATTTGCAGAGGGACTAGGAGTGGCTGATGTTCCATTGTGGACAGCAAGTTACAGCGGACCTAATGTTATTATTAATAGAAGAAATGAAGTATGGCTTGAAATCAATTAAATCTATAGATAATAGATATTGTAATTTCTGACAAATAAAGAGAATGAATATTTTATATTTATCATTATTCCATGATGGGTATGTCTTTCCTGAAACAGTGTAGATTGCAAAACTTAATCTTCCATAAGTAAACTATACAAAAGTAGGTAGAAGTTACAGAAACAATTCATGTGTCATTATTGTAAAGCTCATGCATCCCTACTTGAATACCTAATTACCTGAATACCTAAATACACAAACACACCCAAATTTTGTACGCTCAGCAGTTAGGAACCCTAGCAACAAATCCTTAATTTTCTGTACTGCATTGCTCTCTTAACCGTACTGCATTGTTGGGGGTGGAGGGGGGGATGGGAGAAAAGGGAGAAGGTAGGGAAGAAGGGATACAAGATGGAGGAGCGGGAGGAGGAGGAGAAAGATGATTGAAGAAAAAAAAAACATAAAAGGGCTTTTTCTGTGTAGCTTGTGGATTGCAGATTTTTCTTAGTTTGTTTAAGAAAGCATCTTATTCAAAGATATTTATGAGTTTATCATTTACAGAACTATAATGATTGTGAAAAAATGGAAACTCTGCAAAAAAAACTAAGAACTTGTGTTAATTTTAACTACTAAACTTAAATCTTGGGCAGTTTGAGCATGCACAAGTTAACCAGTATGCAAAGAAAATATGGACTATAGCTAAACAGGACAGTTCTTTAAATAGATCATCAATTGTGATTAACATTATAAATGGTTGTTTATGTTTAAAAGAAAACTCTTATAAAAGTAGAAACTTACAATTCAATAACTTCGAAAAATGGCAGACTATGACCTAGAGGTAGTCTGAAATTATAAAAATTAGTCTTGATAATAAACATAACTTAAAAGCACACTTTAGGTTGTTATAGAAAAACTGAAATTTCATGTACACTCTAGAAAATGCAATTTTGGTCTTTTGCATCAGGCACATAGATAAAGATAGATTGCGCATAAGATGACATTTTTCATCTTGAAAGATATAAATGTACAGAGATGTTTAAAAGATATTCCTATTATATAGATTACCTAGGTCGGTTGTGAACATTGGCTGTTCTTATGTCATTGAGTACTTGTGGTGTACATGAGTTCTGTAGAGAGAAATTTAAGTTAGTTTAGTCCTTCTCATGTCCCTCTTCAGTTCTCGTCAATATGATATATTGCTCAGTGAAATATTGTTGTTCAAATAGTTCCATCTTGAGTTATTTTACACTCTATTGTGAAATCCATTAAAACACCAAACCACCCCGCCTATCATTAAAGTACACTTTGACCCCTAGAAGTATAAGTTCGCGGACTGTGCAATTCTTGGTGATTTTGCGTACATAAGCTATCTATGTTTATTTATTTATCTATGATCAGGCATCAAAGTTTTTCTTTCACATTTCAAATTTCTTCTTTCATTACTCAAGTTCTAAATATGGTTACATGGTTTCCAGGTTTATATATGGTTACATGGCTTCCAGGTTTATATATGGTTACGGGATTTCCCAGTTTATATATGGTTACATGGTTTCCAGGTTTATATATGGTAACATGGTTTCCAGGTTTATAGATGGTCACATAGTTTTCAGGTAACCATATATAAACCTGGAAACCATGTAACCATATTTAAATCTGAAAACCATGCAACCATATATAAAACTGGAAACCCTGTCACCATATATAAATCTGGAAACCATGTAACTATATTTAAACCTGGAAACCATGTTACAATATTTAAACCTGGAAACCATATAACTATATATAAACCTGGAAACCATGTAACCATATATAAACCTGGAAACCATGTAACCATATATAAATCTGAAAACCATGCAACCATTTATAAAATGGAAACCCTGTAACCATATATAAACCTGGAAACCATGTTACCATATTTAAATTTGGAAACCATGTTACCATATATAAACCTGGAAACCATGTTACAATATATAAAAACTGGAAACCATGTAACCATATATAAACCTGGAAACCATGTACCAATATATAAACCTGGAAACCATGTAACCATATTTAAACCTGGAAACCATGTTACAATATGTAAACCTGGAAACCATATAACCATATATAAACCTGGAAACCATGTAACCATATATAAACCTGTAAACCATGTAACCATTTTTAAATTTGGAAACCATGTTACTATATATAAACCTGGAAACCATATAACCATATATAAACCTGGAAACCATGTAACTGTATATAAACCTGGAAACCATGTTACAATATATAAACCTGGAAACCATGTTACCATATATCAACCTTGAAACCATTTATTCTTATATAAACCTGGAAACAATTCATCCATATTTAAATTCGGAAACCATGTTACCATATATAAACCTGGAAACCATGGTACCATATATAAACCTGGAAACCATGTATCCATATAAAAACCTGGAAACCTTTATTCTACTAGCAAAGCTTTTGCTTACCTTTGTCTCGGTTTGGTGAGTTATAAAGTTTTCAAAACTTTTTCAAATTTTCCATCACTATGTAAATAACATGCTTAATTCGTTTGTATTAGTTGTTTCATAGTTTGATTTTTACATAACAGATAACAACTTTTTACCTTGCGGTTGCATTACCTATGACAAGGGAGTGTGGAAAAACATGAAGCAGGGTTTGACTGGTTTTGTCTCATCTAATTTGCTGATGGTTCTCCATTTAAAAAAAATCTGAAATGTGGACGTTTCAATTCTCATAAACTGAAGGAGAAATGTGCAAAGATTAGGTATATTTAGGAACAAAAAGTAGACTGTATTATGCTAAACAGAGTTTTTTGGGGATTTTGTTTTTATTTAAAAAAAAATGGTTTATTTGTTGTTGTAAAGTAACGCCATTGGTTTTGCAAAAAGATGAAAAACATTCTTTTCCAAGTGAGAAGACCTTAAAGTCAGCAAAAATCTAATCATATTATAAGAAGGTTAATAAATCCTGGTCCATAATATTTCATACTCCTTGCTACAGCACATCCCTCTGTCTCCATGATAAAACGAAGGTTCTAAAAACCCACTATTTTTTTTGGCCAGTATAATTCAGATTACTTAAATATGTACCTCAAAACAGTTAAGTTTGCCCAAAATTAAGAAAATTGTAAATTAAATTTGGATCCCTTAGTTCCTCAGATTTTTTTGTTTTAATTATTCTATAACGAGTTTGAAAAAATAAGCAAGACATTGTAAATTTTTCAAATGTTATTTGTGAAATAGAACACCCTCTGATACAGTTTTTAGATGACTCCCCCAAACTGAAATACAAATGTTTTTGACCTGATCATGAATTAATTTGGATGAAAACAAAGTTCAAATAGAGTTATTAGGTTTATAATTATAAATATTTGCTGTCAACAGCCCAGAGGTAAATTTTACTTTACAATTTTTAGAGTCACAGAAGTTCGTAGTAAGATTTTGACTCCACTGGAGACCACCGGAGGGAATTCTTTTTTACTGGAGGGGTTTGAAAAAATGCTTTTTACAATTCAAAACTTTACGCAGGGTGATTTACATTCCACTGGAGGGATTTATATGTCCTTCCAGGGGGGTTATAATTCCACCGGAGGGATTCAGTTATCCTTCCTAGGGGTTTATAATTCCCATGGAGAGATTCAGATATCTTTCTCTTTCCTAGGGGTTTATAATTCCACTGGAGGGATTCAGATATCCTTCCTGGGGGTTTATAATTCCACTGGAGGGATTCAGATGTCCTTCGTGGGGGGTTAAATTTCCACTGGAGGGATTCAGCTATCCTTCCTAGGGGTTTATAATTCTGTTTTAAATTGTGAAAAGCATTTTTTGAAACCCCTCCAGTGAAAATAAAATCCCTCCGGTGGTCTCCAGTGGAGTCAAAATCTTACTACGAACTTTTTGAGTCCAATTTGTACCTAATAAGTTGATGGTTATCGTTTTGGTGAATCTCATCCATGGATTGTCCATAAGGATGATAAATATTTTAATTGTTTTTACAGTACATTTACTTTTAGGGGGTAAGTTCTAAATTTTAGTTTGTTACTACTTTTACGGTAGAATATGGGGGGGGGGCACCCTTAACTAAACTATCAGTGTGTTCTGTATTTTTTTGCAGTACACTTTTTGATATGCAAACTTGAAATCTCTATCCAGTTAGTTAAACAGTCTTCAGGTTTTTTTGATTTCTTAAACGTTCAACACAAAATTGAGAAGTTTTATAAACATTAAAATTGTTTTTTACAAAACAATACCTTTCCCTAAACTATGATTTTACCATGAGAAAAGAATGATTAAAAGAAACCAAAAAATATCTTTTAAAAATGTCTGTTTATTTTGAGGCTAGTTTTTCTTATATATTTTCTGAAATAAAATTTTTATATCGTTTGATAAAAGGAGACTTTAACAGAATACTGTTTCAAATCTCAGAACCTTCTTTAGTTCATAGTATTTGGTTGGTTCTTTTTAAAAGACCAATTAATTTTTTCAAAAACTACTTGCAGTATAACCTCTCTACAGGTGAAACATCTATCAGAAACAACATGATGATCTTTGATCCTGAAAATTTGCTTAACTGCCCACATAATTATGTTAAGTAAACATCAGTTACATAATCACATAGCTAGTATAAAAATGATTTGAACTTCATTTTTTTATCAGTATTCCTCAGAATGGCGTCCCGAATGCTTATACTCATAGCTCTTTACATTAGCTCAGTTGCAGGAGAAACCGAGGAAGCACCTTACACAGTCTTGAAAGAGCATCAAGGCTGGGAGGAGAGAGAGTTCCCTGCCACTAAATGGGTTTCCATTGACGTCTTCTCAATCACCGTCCATGATTCTCCTGAACAACAAAAGGCCTTCTTCCAATTATTTAACTACATTGATGGCCAAAACTCAGAAGGAATGAAAATACCTATGACTGCTCCTGTAAGTTTTAGAATATTACCAGGAGAAGGACCAAACTGTGAGAGTAATTTTACTTTATCCTTTTATATCCTATCCAATCTACAGGAGAATACCCCTCTACCCTTGGATTCAGCTGTTTATATTGAAGAGAGAGCCCCAATAAA